TTTTTACAGGACAGCGTCAAGAAATTGGAAGAAAATATTGCTGATTTTGGAAGGATATCTGAAAACTTGCTGTCCAAGTTTGGAAAGGTAACTTATAGTTGCGTGTGTTATTCTCTTCATTTTGACACCATTGTTATTGTCAAATCTCTTAGAATAGATTGCTCATGCCTAACACTTGCAGCAAACCAACCTGAACTCAAAGCGATAAAGCGCGGGAGAAAATAAATAAGTTAGGTGCAGGTCCGCTTCTGATTGGTTCTTTCAACTAGGTTAAATACCTTTCTTTTTTCCAGGTGAGAAGTGTGTGTTAAAGGGAATCGTCCTTTGTTTCCATCTTTTGTGATCATTATGCCCAAGATATATGTTTGTGACCGTATATTTGGCAACTTTAGATTTCTGAACACATGCAGCGTAAATGTACATCGAAGATCCTCAACTTTTTAGGATTTCAAAGACCTTTTCGTTAAAAAAATTTTCTTAGATGGTTAGCGGCAGCTTTTTTATTCATTTATTTTCTTTGTAGAATATCGTCGAAGAGCAATTTTTGCTGAAAAGAATGGCAGATGTAGCCATTAACTTGTATGGTATGACGGCTGTGATCTCCAGAGCAACAAGGTCTATCAACCGGGGCTCATCGAGCGCCAGTCATGAGGTAGATAGCAGTTTTACATGTATGTCGGACGGACAGAATTCTGACAGTCTAACGGACTGACTAACGGACCGACTACGTTTGACTGGGACTGATTAAATTTCAGGCTGACTGACCTACCAATTGACGAATCATCCACCTGTAATTCAGGAACAGACTGGAATGACTAAATTATTGCTGAAATGACTGACTCATTGGCTGACTAAATGACTGACTGACTGACTAACTGACTGACTGATCGACTGACTGACCGACTGACTGACTGACTGACCAACTGACTGACAGACCGACTGACTGACTGACTGACCAACTGACTGACTGACTGACAGACCAACTGACGGACAGACCGACTGACCAACTGACTGACAGACTGACTGACTGACCAACTGACTGACTGACAGACCGACTGACCAACTGACTGACAGACCGACTGACTAACCAACTGACTGACAGACCGACTGACTGACAGACCGACTGACTGACTGACTGACAGACCGACTGACTGACTGACTGACAGACCGACTGACTGACTGACAGACCGACTGATTGATCAACTGACAGACAGTCAGACTGACCTTCTCTCTGATCAATTGACCATCCGCCGACTGACCAACCGCTTGAGTGTCTGTTCATCAATCTAACTGACTTACATACCCACCGATCGACCAAACGAGATCCCAGCTAGCTGAAAGACGCAACCACTACCTAATTACACAACTATCTGTACTTTGCAATGAAATGTAGTTGTGTATTCAATCTCATGCTTTGTTTGTGTTTTTTTTTTTTGGCAGGCACTTCTTGTGGATACTATATGCAAAGAAAAATACCATGCCAATCATTCCCTCCTCAAAGAAGTCAAATCAGGTGAGAAACAGAATCTTTAATTAAACTTTTAAAGACGTGTGACGCTTATTTTATATGTAGAGGATAAATGGGGGTAATGTTCATGAACGTTCATGACAGAAATTACGGATCAATATCGTATCTCAGTCAACTGATTGCAAGTCAGGGTTAATGTTGGGTTAGGGGAGGGGAGGGCTAGGTGCGCTTTTGCTCAGATTCTAGTTTTGATTCGAAACTACCATCGATTCGAAAGAAGACTCAATTTACCATTCTCCTTTGCAACCATCGTTGGAGAGCGCCATACCTCACTAATTCTCAGATAAACTCGCAGGTAAGGCAAAGGAAAGAGAAGATAGTTATCCAAAATGTAACGAAGATGGCGAAAAAGGAGATCATTTGCACGGACTGAAGCCAGGAAATTGTATAAAAAATATAGGAGAGCACTTTCACAGTTGACCTAACGCGTCACAGCAACTCGCAAAAAAAAGGTGTCAATCTCCTTGCGCTCAAAGTTCTTAAATTCGAGCTGTTTTTGGCCATAGGGAATATTTCTTTGTTTGTCTATGGAGAATGAAAATGTCGTTGATCACGCGAGAACCAGAAGTTATCTTAGGTATCCCATCAAGATTCGAAAACAACCAGTGATGATACAACGTCACTTTTGCAGAGATTTAGGGAAATCTTGAGGACTCTCTGACGATAGCCGACAATCACCCAAATTATAAAGCGCATTTATATGTTAAAATTTGACTGTTGATGAAAACTCATTGAACTTTTTCCAACACATTTCCAATAAATAAGAAACAGAAATATTTGTTTGAATCCTCTTCCCTTTTATCTCACAGGAGAGAAGAGTAATGGAGACGAACAACTTAAGAAAATTGCAGACGACATTTTTAACAGTGGAGGACCAGTGGCACCTCATGCTCTTACTGTCTGAAGACCTTATAATTTATTCGAATGTAAATATTTATGTAAATAAATTAATGTTAAGGTTTTAAACCGGAACGAAGACAAACTCGAAGACAATGGAAAGAGACCCATTGCAGGCCAATGAAGATAATTGTTATAAAAAAACTTTACGAAATGGTCATCGTTTTTCTGAGGTATAATTTTCTTTTCGTTGACCCTACAGCTAAGCTAATATTTTTACAGGTATGAAAGAGGACTCTATCTCAACGAACTGTATGTTATTGTTGCGCCCTTAGAAATGCGTAGTATTAACCCTTTAATTTCTCAAGATCTGATTGATAATTCTCCCCTCTGGCTGCTACGCATTTCCTTGTAAATGAGTCGCGAGAATTTGGTTTTTAGATCCAGATTACAATCTCTACCTGATAAGTTTGAGTATTCTCATTACCTGTTTGCTGGATCATGTATGGATATTATAGGGAGAAGTTACATGTTAATCACTTCTGGGAGACAAAGGGTTCAGGTATAACACGCAAGAAATTAGCGTTATGTTAAATCTCACAGCGATAGAACGTCTTTTAAATTGTTTTAATCCTGCTAATCACCGTGCTTAATTCCGTAACTAAATTATTTTGGTCACAAACTCTTACTACAAGGTACAATGTAAGTGCATGTTTTGTTCCTGGAATATGAAAAAGTAATCCCAATAAAATACTGAGACCTAATTTTCTCACCGTGACAATCCATGAAACCTTTTGTGGGGGTACTCATTGCATATCTCTTATTTTGACTTTAAATCATGATATTGTGTAGATACGTGTCTTTGGAGAATTTTTTACCCAACAGAGGACCGTCGTTTACTCCTTTTTGCAAAGAACTGAAATGTTATACCATTCCCCTTGGGAATGAGTGCACGCTGTCTTCCTGTTGTCTGTTTTCGGGAGGACAGGATGCGAGAGAGTCATCGAAATTCCAGTCCTACCTGTGCAAACTCTTTAGACCCTAATATAACGTCAGTATGCATATTCTCCATACTGTTCTCTGTACATTCCCTATGGTGCTGACAAGGAGAATTTGTTAAACGATCAAGAGCTTCTTCGGTTGGTGATTATTTCCATCATTCTCGTGAGCATAATCATTGCTCCTGGGATGATACTGTCAGGATAGATTAGATGCTAGTCACTCATGGGTGTTAAAATTCCATAAAATGACAAAGGTATATTGTCAAGCAAGGTAGCTATCAAAGTATAAAGGCTGTTAGTTTCTAAAGAAACTGTTTGGGGCTGCGTCGGTGGGGGTAACGAAATAATTTGAACATATCAACAAAGTTGAAATGGTAAATTGGCCACCGTTACGATTATAAACGCTGACGTTTCGAGCGTTAGCCCTTCGTCGGAGCGAATAGGGGAATTGTGGGTTGTGTGTGCTTTTAAAGGCAGAAAAAGGAGCTACGGGATTGGTGGGAACATGGCAACGAGAAAAACACGAATAAATTAGTGGAATGAAAAGCGTTCGTTGATACCTGTGGGATTTAGACTGCCGGTTTGAAAGATGAGCTTTTGTTCAAGAGTTTTCCGGCTTTCCGTACTACCTAAGTGTAAGGAAAGACCGCAGATTGCCATATGTTGCTTAGAATGATTAGGTAAATTAAAATGTATAGCGACTGGTTTCCATGTGTCCTTGCCATTCCTCTCCACGTCGCGAAGGTGTTCTCGGAATCGGTCACCTAGTCTTCTGCCTGTTTCGCCGATGTAAATCTTTTTGCAAGAAGTGCAACTTATGCAATAGATTACATTGGCGGAGGTGCTCATTTAATTCATCTTTAGGCCATCAAACCTCGCTTTGCAGTCAACATCATTCCCGCCGTCAGAGTTTTCTGTCAATTAGGCTGACGTTTGCACGTGAACAGAGGCTACAAAGGTTTTTTTTTTTTTTTTTTTATCAAAGGGGTTCGCAGTTATGAATTTTTACGCGCTTTACGTGAAGTGGCTCAGACCACTTCTTCACCTCGTATATCAGCGGGCTGTTATTAACGAAGCGAGAAGGACCGGCAAATGGAGCGTCTAACACTGTTTTTAAAAAGATAAGATAATATTTGTTCGTTAATGATAAAAATAAATAAATGATAAAACGAATCATCTCTCAGAGGAGGGAGTCAAAGGCACTCCAGGTACCCTCCAAGTTAAGCCTCCGGTGTAAATCCCTTAACACATTTATATTTTCCGGTTCCTTGTGGTCTGACTTGTTTTCAGTTGTAATATCATTTCATGCGCGAGAGGAAGACCTACTTCCCTCGCGTGTGTGCCTCGCCTTTCGCGTTCGCGTCGCGCTTTTCCGCGTGATTGAAAAATGCCACAGAACGGCCGGAAACGCCACGAGGAAGTACTTATCTTTTGTCTTATCTGTCCAGGGAAGAATCAGCATCATCTCTTCACTTTACCTCCCTCAAAGAATATCCCTCGCGTGTGTGCCTCGCCTTTCGCGTTCGCGTCGCGCTTTTCCCCTTGAAGTACATTTAAAGTGCATTTGGTGCATTTTGAGTTCTTCGAATCTTGCCATTCCATCATAACAGAAAAACAATGCGTTAGTTTAACTATATTTTCCCTTCAAGAAAATACAATAGTTTGTCTTTGGTTTTGTTAATTTTTGTTCATCTTATTAATGAAAATGGCGAAATAAAGATGGTTCGTTACAGAATAGTTTCATCAACGCAAATACGTTTCGTTCTGTCTCATTTCCACAGGGGAATTCATCGCACGCAATGCACTCCCCTGCTCCTAGTTCTTGATTGGCCAGCTAAGCCTGCGTGCAAAACTCCACGCCAGATCTGTGACGTATCACCCGCTTATTGCCTGGAGTAGTTAATCCATATTCATCCCAAATAGAAAAATATTTTGCAAACCACGCTGTTCTTCGAGGAGTTAAGATGTGTCGTCCGTTAGCGTCGAAATTAAAGTTGAATTTTGAAGATAAGAGGACAGTTGAGCTGTAAAGAGGAGCACCGGAGAGCAGTGTTATGTTCCTACAGCACAAGGTGAGCATTTCTTTTGAAAATTGTGCCTTGATTTCCTTCAGAAAGCAGACCAAGTCGCAATATTTTACAATAACAAGTGAACGCGTGTCAACTGTTTAGTTCAAGCTGCTCTTCATCGACACGAAGTTAAAGTTAAAACCAGTAAGACCGTCAGTCTCCGTAGAAGCAAAACCGTTTATATATTGAAGAACATTCTGATATGAATTAATAGTAACCTTTCGGACGAACACTGATTTATTAGTGCTATTTTAGAAAGGAACGAAATTCCTCGGTTTGTCATAAAATCCCTTCCTCGAGGAATTTTTCAGAACTGTACAAAGCAAAAAGAGAATAAAATATCTGTTACTTAATAGCTCTTTAGATCTTATGTTGTGTTGAACAGTTCCTGATCATATTGCTTAATTCTTATTTCCAGGAGGAGAAAAGCTGAGAAAAGTATGGAAGAATAAAGAACCTAGTCGAGAGGAGAGACTGGAATAAATGAACATAAAGAGGATACTGCACAGATAAGAAGTTTGATATTATTGTATTACAGTAGCAAAAATTGGTGGCCTTCTAAAATCATCAGTATTGTAGGAAGGGTTTTCTCTTCGCCAAACGTCTTTGAGTTGTCTAAGAGAAGGAAATGCCTGGAATAGAATCAGCAACTAGGAATAAGTGAATAGCTTTCGACTGCGAGCCACCAGTTTTTGAGGAGTAGTTTATTACGATACAGATTGTTGGGTAGAACTTGGGCGATGTTATGATTGGCAAGAGTACCATAGAACTCCATCATTAATTAAGCATTCAGACTAGTAGACTTTGTTTTTAAAGTTTTGTCGTGAAAGACAAAGAAGTGGAATGCATAACTAATGTATGGGGTTGTATGGTACTCTTTCCGTATGATTTATTTTCGAACGCGAGCCCTTATTTGAGCAACATATCTCAGAAAAATTCGTTTCATTGCGTTGACAAAAGTAGCTATTTAGCATTGATACAAACTTTGCTACAGAACACTAACAGCGAAATCGGTGATTTTTTAAAAACTGATTGCTCATTTTCATTGCTCACTATTGTTTGTATAACAGTTAGTATCGCAGGTCGGTTGATGTCGCAAAAAGGTGATATTTGTTAAGGTGGCACTGTAACAAGACTTCAGAGCAGGACCAAATTCATTAAAAAATCTATATCTTAAGATAAACAGAATCAATCATACCACTATTGGTTTGGAAAGTTGCTTTACTTTTGAACACACTATCCTTTCAAGATAACGAAACCTGCCATTCATGTACAAACGACTTCATCACATTACATAACCAACTGACCAGACAGAACAATCTAACGTTACCGACAGATATGGATTATTCAACTGGATAACTATGATATATCACTTTTACCCGACGGCCGAAAAAATCACAGAAAAATTTACCAATTTGACGGTCCAAACTTACAATCGACTGATAAACATAATTATTCAATTGACTTTGACAATGACTTCTGCTCAAGTTGCCAAACATCAGATATCGACATCGACAACGACAAACATCCCTTTTTACTCAAGACCACTCTTACCCGCACGATCATTACAACATGATGGGTTACAAGTGCTTCACATAGGCACCGAAAAACATCAGAAAACAGTTTCCTTCTCGATGTGAGCTAAAAGAAAGGGGAAATTGCACAGCAACAAAGTATTTGTTTTGTCACACAAGAGAGAAAAAAACCAGTACAGTGCCATCTTGATACATAAATCCAGCCTCGTTCCCAGGGCCTTTTCCCTTAGCTGGGGGTGGGGCGGGAAAAGGTAAGGGAAAAGCTAAGGGAAAAGGCCCTGGGAACGAGGTTGGCATAAATCATCAACTTTGTCCCATCAAATGAGTTTGGGTTTTGCTTGGTAGCTCTTTGTTTTTAACTCTTATGCCTGGTCACGAGATCGTTCGAGCAACAATCGAGTCGAAATGCATTGTTATATAAAACAGCTGTGGACAAAGAAATGTAGATTTTCATTTTACTAAGAATATTTTTGATAGATATTAACACGGATTTTTAGAACTTTTCGCAAATCATTGAAACCTAGATATAAGACTGAACGAAAAACAAAGAGGCTTTTCTGGTAATGACCAATGAAAAAAAGACACGAGTGTCTCAGTTTTCCTAGTAAAAAATTATGAAATATTCAAACAGGTTCTGAAAAACGTGTGACTTGATTAACTGAGGGGGATTGTTTTTCATTAAGAACAAAATTTTCATCTTTCGAAAAGGCATTACTTTGACAGGTATGAAGATAATGAACGGTTTCCGGCGGAAATTGGAAAAAAAAACTTACAAGTTGGACGAACAACAATTGAGAGACAACTTATTTAGTGAGAA